ACAAAAAAATTAGCTGGGTGTGGTGGTGTCCACCTGTAATCCCAGCTACTTGGGAGGCTGAGGTAGGAGAATTGCTTGAACCCCGGAGGGGAAGGCTGCAGTGAGCCAAGATTGCGTCACTGCACTCCAGCCTGGGCAACAGAGCAAAACTGTCCAAAGTAAGTCCAATGTGAGGCAGACTAATAGGAGATCACTTCAACAACCTCAGGGGGCTGTCTCCTCAGTGACAGGCTGGATCAGAAACAACCAACCTGTGTGTCTCCCTCAGTTCACACACTGCTGAAGGTTGGAGGAACCTCAAACCTTGCATTTGCATTTGGGGGACTGCTGAATGGCAGTGTTCCTGAACACTGCCAGAAAGAAAAGAAGATTCTCTCTAGAGAACACCTTCTCTTCCTAGGTTGAAAATTATTTATAGAAATAATTATAAGTAATTATAGAAAATTATTTATAGAAATAATTATAGAAAATTGTTTCTATAAATAATTTTCAAAAATGATGACCAACACACAATCAAAGATAAGCAAGCACACAAGGAAATTGGCACCATGATCAAAAATCTGCTGAAACTGACAACAGATAATGAGCAAGAGACTCCTAGGCCCAGACCCCCTCCCACCCAGGAACTGCAGGCGAGTCCTTGGACCGATTTATGCCATACCTTCCCACAGCTTCTGGTGCTGCTCTTTGGCCTCTTTCTCTGGCTTCTCAGCTTCCTCCTTCACTGTCCGCAGCATCTCCACCTGGTCTTCCAGAGACTTCTTCCCAGCCTGTAGCTCAATGAGCTTTTTCTGGGTGGGCAGAAGGCAAGACCAGCTCTCCTCTGTTCTGCCTCCTCCTCACTGACTACTACCTCCCTACCTCCAGTCCACAGGGCAGCAAGGGGATGTTCCAAAACACACACCACACTGGGTCTCTCTCCCTGGGTGGGGTTCCCTGTAGCCCTCTGGGGAGAAGCCCAAATGCCTCAATGTAGCCCACAAGGCCCCATGTAATCAGGCCCCTGCCTGATTCTCAGCCCCATCTACTGCATCCCTGTCTTATTAGGATCCAGGTGCCCTGACAACATTTAGACCCCCAAACACTCTTCTGGCTCTGGTTCTTCAAACATGCTGTTCCTTCAGCCTGGAACACTCTCCCTGACTAACTCCAAATTACCCAATAGATCTCACTTGAGATAGAGGCCTCCTCCTCCCAAGAAGCCTTCCTTGTCTCCTGCCCTCAAGCCAAGAGAGAGAGGTACTTGGCAAGAGCCTCTACCCCAAATTCCCCTTTGCCCAGCAGCCCTGGTTGTTTGTCCCTCCCACTAGCAATGAATCCCTTGAGGCAGATCCAGATCGGTTTCTAGCCTCCTGTCCAGTACACAGGCAAGGTAGGGAGACACATGCCTAGGACCCCAAAGCACCCACCCTATGGAATTAATCCAGCTGCTACTGGCTGATGTTATCTTGCTAAGGTCAGAGCTGGGGAGTCATCTTGTCATCAGCCCATCTTACAGGTAATGGGACCACAGAACCAGGATATGGAGAAGCCACCCTCCCATCCCCAGGAGGCAGCAAGGCCCTTCTAGGCTGCTTTAGTCTGATGCCCAAGGCCCTTATAAAAAATAAAAAATTCCTCTTCAAAATTTTTCTTTTTGTTAAAGAGTAATAATAATCAACGTTAGAAATAAAAGTTTGGGCCGGGCGCGGTGGCTCAAGCCTGTAATCCCAGCACTTTGGGAGGCCGAGGCGGGTGGATCACGAGGTTAAGAGATTGAGACCATCCTGGTCAACATGGTGAAACCCCGTCTCTACTAAAAATACAAAAAAAAATTAGCTGGGCGTGGTGGCGCGTGCCTGTAATCCCAGCTACTCAGGAGGCTGAGGCAGGAGAATTGCCTGAACCCAGGAGGCGGAGGTTGCGGTGAGCCGAGATCGCACCATTGCACTCCAGCCTGGGTAACAAGAGTGAAACTCTGTCTCAAAAAAAAAAAAAAAAAAAAAGAAATAAAAGTTTGCTTTAAAGACTGTCTTCAAAGCCTTCTTGCTTTTTGCTAATAACTCTTTGTTAAGCTTTATCCTATGAAGCCATTAGACATGCTTACAGGCACATAGCACATTCTATGCCCATGTACTTTAACCAAGATGTCTGTGCTGGACGTGCTCACAGGCGTGTCCCAGCTCGCAGTGTATGCCCCTTCCTTATTTGGACTGCCTCTTTTCCTTTGTTCTCCATTGCCTTTACCTATTTAGAAAAGTTTTAAGTTGTGAGCCAGTCGGGTTTCAGTTTAGGTTGTGAGGTCCACCTCCAACCAATGGAGATCAGAAACAGCAATAAGGACACAATGCATAAGGAATAAATATGCCTGCCTTTCCTTTTTCATTGAACTCTTGTGGTAAGACAGCTAACAGGAGCACCCTTTCTGCAGAAGTAAAATTGCCTTGCTGAGAGAACTTTTTGTCTGAATGACAACTTTTCCTTGCAGTACCTGGGAACAAGTATTCTGTCTCTAACAGCCCTGATAAATACCTAAGCTGGCTGCCTCCCACTTGGAAACTATTATACTTAACCAATAACTAAATGCCTAGCACACAACTGTGAAAGCAAAGTGCAGGCAGGCAGTCACTTGCCCCAGGACAGGAGTCGGGGCAAACCCCACCTAGGCCTTGCAGGCCCATGCTACAAAGTCCAAGGCTCAGATCCCCCTGGGGCAGCCCCACAGGCTCCTCACCTGCTTCTCCTCCCGAGCCTTCTTCCAGTCCTCAATAAGGATCTTCTTCAGGCGGAACCCTTCTCGGGTGACCTCGGCCATCTGCTGCAGTGACTCTCTCTCCTTACGGCCCTTCTCTCTGAGGTGGGGGGGACACACAGGAGCCACCAGTGGGGCACTTAGAGTCCACCCAGTCTGCCTCTTCCAAAATAGCTCAATCCACCTGTGGCCCCCACCAAGCCATGCTGGGAAAGATAAGAGATCAAACCCTCCTCCCAGCCTCCCAGGTCCCCTCAACAGCAGCATCCTTCACCTCTGTCCTTGAAAGAGGGACAGTGGGATCTGTAGGCCCCTGGGGTCAGGGAAGGGACTAGGGAGTGTTGGGAGGTGGAGCTAGATATGAACTCTCAAGAGACAGGAGACTAGCTTGCGTGCAGTGGCTCATGCCTGTAATCCTAGCACTCTGAGAGGCGAAGGCAGGCAGGAGGGTCACGTGAGCCCAGGAGTTCACAATCAGCCTGGGCAACATATAAAGACCCTGTCTTTACACATAATTAAAACAAACAAACAACCAGAGAAGACAGAAAGAACAGAAATCACGACTCCCAGGCAAAAAGACAATCCAGTTATTAAATGTGTTGGTCAGCTGGGCGTGGTGGCTCACACCTGTAATCCCAGCACTTTGGGAGGCTGAGGCGGGTGGATTAACTGAGGTTGGGAGTTCAAGACCAGCCTAGCCAACATGGTGAAATCCTGTCTCTACTAAAAATACAAAAATTGGCTGGTTGTGGTAGCAGGCACTTGTAATCCCAGCTATTTGGGAGGCTGAGACAGGAGAATCACTTGAAACCAGAGGTGGAGGTTGCAGTGAGCCAAGATCGTGCCATTGCACTTCAGCCTGGGCGATAGAGCGAGACTTTGTCTCAAAAAGAAAGTGTGTTGGTTGTGTTCAATCCACCTTCTGCTTAAAAGATCGGAATCCGGAGAGTTTACGTAAGTATTGGGACCTTCAACTTCTTTGAAACACTATTCCAGCCATGCCACCTGCCAACAACTGACTGGACTTTGTTTTGTTTTTTTAGCTCACTGCAATCTCTGCTTTCCACACTCAAGCAATCCTCCTTCCTCAGCCTCCTGAATAGCTGGATCTACAGGCACAAACTACCACACCTGGATAATTTTTTAAAAAATTTTTGGAGAGATAGGGTCTCACTAGGTTGCCCAGGCTGGTCTCGAGCTCCTGGGTTCAAGTGATCCTCTTGTGTCAGCCTCCTGAAGTGCTGGGATTACAGGTGTAAGCCACATGGCCAGCCAGTAATTTTTTAAATTATAATTTCCAATTTTTATTTTTACTTTTATAGACATGGGGTCTCACTATTTTGCCCAGAGTGGTCTCAAACTCCTGAGCTCAAGCGATCCTCCTGCCTGAGCCTCCCAAAGTGGTGGGAATACAGGCATCAGCCACAATGAGCCGTTTATTTGTACTTTGTCACGTCAGACAGGTAATGTGCCCAGGTCATAACACGGTTTAAGCGAGGCACAGCTCTCACATGTGCATAAAATCCTAATCATTGTGGCCAGGCATGGTGGCTCAGCACTTTGGGAGGCTGGGGTGAGCAGATCACCTGAGGTCAGGAGTTCAAAAGCAGCCTGGCCAACATAGTGAAACCCCGTCTCTACTAAAAATACAAAAGTTACAAAAGTTAGCCAGGTGTGGTGGGGCACACCTGTCATTCCAGCTACTTGGGGAGCTGAGGCGTAACAATTGCTTAAACCCAGAAGATCTCAGTGTGAGCCAAGATCACACCACTGCACTCCAGCTTGGGCGACAGAGTGACACCCTGTCTCAAAAAGTGAATAAACAAATAAATAAAAATCACAGTGCTTATGAACTACAAAAGGATCGGCTGACAGGAATTGAGAATAGCTATTCCTGTAGATGCCACATTCCCCACCTCTCCATACTGCCTCATCCTTGGCCTCCTCCTGTTGTATACTTTACCTGCCTGTAGGTGTTGGGGTTTTCAGGGCCCGCTGCAGAGCATGACAATGGAAAGTTTAGCGTCAGAAGTTAGGCTAATGAGGGTCCGAGTGCCAGCTCCGCTATCTCCTATGTGACGCTGGGGAAGTCGTTTCCCCTTTTTGTTGTTTTTTTTTTTTTGAGACAAGAGTCTTGCTCTGTTGCCCAGGCTGGAGTGGAATGGCGTGATCTCAGCTCACTGCAATCTCCACCTCCCGAGTTCAAACGATTCTCCTGCCTCAGCCTCCCAAATAGCTGGGACGACAGGCGTGCACCGCCACACCTGGCCAATTTTTTGCATTTTTAGTAGAGACGGGGCTTCACTATGTTGGCCAGACTGGTCTTCAACTCTTGACCTCATGTTCTGCCCACCTCAGCCCCCCAAAGTTCTGGGATTACAGGCGTGAGCCACCACGCCTGCATGATTTCCCTTTCTACACTTGAGTTCCCCCATCTGTTGAACTGGGAAACAATCCTACCTGCTTCCAGACTAGAGGGAAAGGTGGTGATTAGAATTCACAAGGCACCTGGCACAAACGGAGCACCCAATACAGAAAAGCAGAAAAGAGAGTGGGCCCGATTCATTGGGTGGGGTCAGGCAAAGTCCTGGGGTGTGGTGACAAGAGAGGTGCTGTCACCCACGTACTTGCAGGTGTTTTCACAGACGACACCGCTGTTATACTCGTCTGTTCCATCGCAGCAGTCTGCGGCAGAGGCAGGAGCCGAGATCAGACCTAGCAGTGCCTCCTCCCTCTCTCCCTTCCTCCCTCCTTCCCTCCCTCCCTCCACCACCTTTCCTGAATCCTGGTGCATCCTCACTCACCACAAACACCATCATTGACGCGGTTGGAGAGGATATACAGGGGCTTATAGCCAGTGTTGGTGCAGTGGAAGCTGCCATTAGGACAGGCAGCCGTGCCTGGGAGAAAGAAGGGAGGAAAGGTTTTCAGAGTCAGCTCAGGGCCAGACATGTCCCTCCCATCCACAGACAAGAGCCCCTGACAGGCCGGCCGCGGTGGCTCAGGCCTGTAATCCTAGCACTTTGGGAGGCTGAGGCGGGTAGATTGCCTGAGCTCAGGAGTTTGAGACCAGTCTGGGCCACACGGTGAAACCTGACTCTACTAAAATACAAAAATTAGCTGGGTGTAGTGGCGTGCACCTGTGTCCCAGCTACTCGAGAGGCTGAGGCAGGAAATTGTTAGAACCCAGGATGCGGAGATTGCAGTGAGCTGAGATTGTGCCACTGCACTTCAGCCTGGGCGACAGAATGTGACTCTGTCTAAAAAAAATAAATAAATAAAAAGAACAAATGCAATTTTAAAAATATTTTCTCTATGAATATAATCTTATAAAGTCACATTTTTCTTACTCAGAGTGACACTCTTTCTAAAAAAAAAAAAGCCACTGACCCACACAGAGTACAAGAAACAGAATGACCAAGGGAAGGAAAGAACTGTGCACTGCACCCCCAGGGCTCAAGTAAAGCTCTGCAGTGCTCCTGGAGAGCACTTCTGCCCCTCCTCACTGAGGCCCTTCAAAACAGGGTTTCGACTGGATGTGGTGGCTCACACCTGTAATCTCAGCATTTTGGGAGGCTGAGGTGGGTTGATCACCTGAGGTCACAAGTTTGAGACCAGACTAGCTGAATGGTGAAACTCCATCTCTACTAAAAATACGAAAAATTGGCCACACGTGGTAGCGTCCACCTGTAATCCCAGCTACTTGGGAGGCTGAGGAAGGAGAATTCCTTGAACCCAGGAGGTGGAGGTTGTGGTGAGCAGAGATAGTGCCTTTGCACTCCAGCCTGGGAGATAAAAACAAAACTCCATCTCTAAATAAATAAATAAATAAATAAAAGGCGGGGCACAGTGGCTCATATCTGTAATCCCAGCACTTTGGGAGGCTGATTGGGTAAATCATGATGTCAGGAGATGGAAACCATCTTGACTAGTATGGTGAAACCCTGTCTCTACTAAAAATACAAAAATTTTAGTTGGGCGTGGTGGTGCACACCTGTGGTCCCAGCTACTCAGGAGGCTGAGGCAGGAAAATCCCTTGAAACTGCAGAGGTTGCAGTGAGCCAAGATCCCGCCACTGCACTCCAGCCTGGGCAACAGAGCAAGACTCTGTCTAAAAAAAAAAAAAAGGTCTCATCCTGGTGGCTTGAACCTGTAACTTGTAGCAGTTTGGGAGGCCAAGGCAGGAGGATGACTTGAGCTCAGCAGAGAGCTATGATCACACCACTGTACTCCAGCCTCAACAACAGACCAAGACCCTGTCTCTTCAAAAAACACAAAAACAAAAACCCAAGGTTTCCCTTCACCTCTGTCTCCTCCTGGATTGCTCTTGGCCCCACCCTGTCTCCCACTTCTAGGGGTTTGTCCACGTTGGCCCCTCCATCTTAGCACCTTCGGAATTCGACTGAAACCTCACCTCCTTGGAGGAGCCTTTTCTGACCCCCAGGCTTCGGGGTTAGGAGGACTCTGGGCTCCTCCAGCTACCCAGGGCCATAACACTGACTTCTGGGCTTGTTTCTGCCCACTCAACGGGGAACCAGCACAGGGAGTATCTTGGTCACACAGACAGGCCCGGCACTGAGCAGTGTTCAATAAATATCTGATGCATGAACAGAGAAAAAGCTCACCTGGCTCATCGGAGCCATCCTTGCAGTCGCAATAGTCATCGTTGACCTGATCGAATGGGATGGTAGCTGAACCGTCCAGGCAGGTGAACGGCTTGGACTCATCGTAGAAGTGATGATCTGTGAGGGTGCAGGAAGCTCACGTGAGGGCAGGAAGGGGCCTTCTCCACCAACCACCACCTCTGCCCTCCCACCCCCACCAGCGTAGCACGGCCGGGAAACTGAGGCAAAAGGCTGTTAACGCCTATCCCCAAGGCCCAATGCTGGCCTCTCCCACTTCTAGCTTGGGGGGAGGGTGAACTCACTGGTGAGGGAGACGCCCCGGGGCCTCTTGACCTCCACCGCCCAGCACAAGGGTAGCAGCAGAAGCAGCGGCAGCAGCATTTCACCAGAGGCTCTCAGGCACGAAACGGGTTCTGTAGGAGGAAGCCGGCAGCGGGGAGATGCGCTGTATCCACACGCTGCAGCAAGAAAGGGGATCCGATCAGTAGGTGAGGGCTACTTCCAGTTAACTGGATTCCTCCATCGCTCCCAGGCAATGAGGCCTCACTTTGTTTCCCATATCGGGGCGAAGGGCAGCGATCTCCCTAATCCTAGCCAGTCTCACTTGGCTCAAATCAATGGCGAGGATCTCCAAACCTTGTTCCCTGTGCCTGGTTGTGGCCCAATTCCCGCCAATAGGCCGAAAGGGTTAACAGTCTCCGCCGTCCACACCCACACATGCACCCTCCCGTTGCCCCCCTGTAGGAAATTAAGGTAACCTCCCACTCCCTCGTTCAACACCTACACGAGGCCGGGGCAAAGGTCAGTATCCACCGCGACCCTCTTGTTCGGCAGGCACGGTTCCTGCTGCAAAAAGAAAGCGGAAATATCTGGGAGCCGTCACTACCGGTAGTTCGTCCCGCACCGGGAACGGCGAGTCAGGGTCGCCATATTGGGAGTGGCAGGAGTGGGGGAGGTGCTAGAGCCGAGACGGCCATCTTGGCCAGGAGTGTGAAGCCTTAGAGAGGACAGTTCTGACGGCTCGCTCTTAATGGCGGCGCAACGTACCACCATCTTGGGAGTGGCGGCTTCTCCGGAAAGAAAGTTCCTGAAAAATGCCTGCGAACCCCCCGGGGCGGGAAAAGGTTGGGGGAGGGAGGGAAATGGGATGATCACGTGACCCTAAAGTGTCCTGACCCTCTGTCCTGCTGCTCGGCTCTGCTCCGCCCACTGTTGGGACGGTCCCTCCATGCAGCGTCAACCAATGAGAACGCAGTGTCAGCCATGGAACGCGTGTAGTCTCCATGGAAACACTGGAGCGAAGAGGAGGCGGTTACCTAGCAACCGAGAGATGCGGAGAGCAACCGCCTAGCGGTTGGAAAGTGCATTTTTCAGAGTCCTAGGAATCCGAGCTGACCGATCACTGACAGGGGCGATTGACTCCTAGTTGTCCCCCTAACCCCTAGGGGCCTTTGGCCCCGACCCCATCATGACGTCCCCCCTGTGCAGGGCGGCCTCTGCCAACGCCTTGCCTCCTCAGGATCAGGCTTCGACGCCCTCTTCCAAGGTCAAGGGCAGGGAGACTTCGGGCAAACCCAGCCATCTCCGAGGAAAGGGCACAACCCAGGCTTGGACCCTCGGCCGATCCAAGGCAGGATCCTTCCGCAGAGGTTCAGGGAAGTCCTCTATGCACTCGCAGGTGGCTGAATTACGTAGAAAGATACAACTGCTAGGTAAGATGGCTCCAGCGGGCACAGAGGGTCAGGGGTCAACAGTGTCCATACAGTCTTCTGACCAGGGATGGTGTGACAAAGGTATTTCTCCAGCATGAGTCTAGATGAACAGCTTCTGGGCAAAACTCATATTTGTTCATGTTTTTCCTCCTCTCCCTCTTAAAACTTCTCATGAGTTCAGAACCGAGTGAACTGTACCTCAAACTTTCCTGTAACTTTCTCGCCCTCTCTCTCAGTTTTTTTTTTTTTTTTTTTGAGACAGGGTCTCTCTGCCGCCTCTGCTGGAGAGGAATGGCATGATCTTGACTCACGGCAACCTCCACAGGTTCAAGCAGTTCTCGTGCCACAGTCTCCCAAGCAGCTGGGACTACAGGCACATGCCACCTCACTTAATTTTTATATTTTTAGTAGAGACGAGGTTTCACCATGTTGGTCAGGCAGATCTCGAACTCCTGACCTCAAGTGATCCACCAGCCTTGGCCTCCCAAAGTTCTAGAATTACATGTGTGAGCTACCACGGCCAGACTTTTTTCTTTTTGACAGGGTATTACTCTGCTGTTCAGGCTGCAGTGCAGTGGTTCAACAATAGCTCACTGCAGCCTCGACCTACTGGGCTCAAGCAGTTCTCCCACCTCAGCCTCCCAAGTAGCTGGGACTACAGGCGTACGCCACCGTGCTTGGCTAATTTTCTTTTTCGTAGAGATGGATTCTCACTATACTGCCCAGGCTGGTCTCCAACTCCTGGGCTCAAGCAATCCTTTCATCTCAGCCTCCTGAGTAGCTTGGGACTCACAGGCTCACACCACAATGCCAGGCCACTTTTTTTGTAGTTTTAGTAGAGATGGGGGTCTCACCATATGTGCCCAGGCTGGTCTGGAACTCCTGAGCTCAAGCGATCCACCCACCTCAGCCTCCCAAATTACTGGGATCACAGGCATGGGCCATGGTGCCTGGGCACAGATCCTCTTATACTCAGATTTTTTTCAGTAAATATAGTCAGCCCTTTGTATTCCCGGATTCCGAGTCCGCAACTAAATGCAGATTGAAAATACAGTATTCACAGGCTGAGCGTGATGGTTCATGCCTGTAAACCCAGCACTTTGGGGGACAAAGATAAGGGGCTCACTGGAGGCCAGGAATTTGAGAACAACCCTGACAACATAATGAGACCATGTCTCTACATTTTTTTTTTTTTTGAGACAGAGTTTTTGCTCTTGTTGCCCAGGCTGGAGTGCAGTGATGCGATCTTGGCTCACCACAACCTCCACCTCCCGGTTCAAGCGATTCTTCTGCCTCAGCCTCCCCAGTAGCTGGGATTACAGGCATACAACACCACACCTAGCTAATTTTGTATTTTTAGTAGAGACAGGGTTTCTCCATGTTGGCTAGGATGGTCTCAATCTCCTGACCATGTGATCTGCCTGCCTTGGCCTCTCAAAGTGCTAGGATTACAGGAATGAGCCACCATGCCCGGCTTCACACCTGGTTAATTTTTGTGTATTTAGTAGAGACGGGTTTTCACCATGTCGGCCAGGCTGGTTGACGACTGCATTCTTTTTTTTTTGCTTTTAGTACAATTTCCATTTCACTTTTCTCCAGAGAATAGTCTATCTTCAGTCTGTAAGGACTCAGCTCCTTACATGGGCTTTGGTGGGAGTCATGGGGCAGGTGCAGGTCTAAATCGGGGTGGCGTGTTCCGTCCTTGCTGGCTTCATGAGATTGATGCCTGACTGCTTTGCTGTGAATTGCACAGCTCACACAGTAATGTAGCTTCACATACAGCTTGGGAAGCACATAGGCATCAAAGATGCTCAATTCAGAAATGTCCGTGACTGCTGCAGCCTCCATTGTTTTGAATGACAAATTTCTTAATGGCCTTGTCCTTGGCATGCATCGGGCACAGTTCATGCAGCGAATAGGCTGCACGTGGCCACGGCCCTTTTTGGCACAACCGTTGTTCCTTCTTTTCTTTGTCATCTTGGAGGCACGGATCGGAGAGAGCTGCTGCATTCTTATAATATTAAGTTGATCGCAAAAAAAGGTCTTCTCTCTGGGATGTTGCACCCACCCACCCAGTAACTGTGTGTCTGTCCACCTCACCTGCCTGGCAGAGGGTGACCGGAAGGCTTTTTTTGAGAGCTCACAGTGGAACATCAAGAAGAACCAGGAGACCATCAGTCAGCTCCGTGAGGAGACTAAGGCACTGGAACTAAAGCTGCTGGACCTGCTCAAGGTAAGGGGTGAAGACGTGGGTGGAGGAGTTCCCGCGGGGCGGTGGTGGGGCAAGGAGACAGCACCTGGCCTCAGCTAGAGGTGGCATGATGAAAAGTGACCGCGCTCTCCTCCCTGCAGGGAGATGAGAAAGTGGTCCAGGCAGTGATACGAGAATGGAAGTCGGAGAAGCCATACCTCAAGAACAGGACAGGCCAGGTTTGCCCCACCCTCTCCCAACCTCATCCTTCATTACCAGCCTGGGTCCCCTCAGTGCTGGACTCCAGGCTCACCCTCTCCAATCCTTTCTGCACAATAGCTGCCATTCATGTGCTCATTCAATTACATCTTTATTACTCACTATCCTTGGACCTGGCATCCTGGCATGGTAGTAGATGCAGCGAAAAAACAGACCAAGTTGGCCGGGCACGGTGGCTCACGCCTGTAATCTCAGCACTTTGGGAGGCCATGGCGGGCAAATCACCTGAGGTCAGGAGTTCAAGACCAGCCTGGCCAACATGGTGAAACCCTGTCTTAAAAAAAAAAAACAAAAAAACAGACCAAGTCCCCACTTCTAAAAACAGCTCATATTGGCTGAGCACAGTGGCTCACACCTGTAATCCCAGCACTTTGGGAGGCCAAGGTGGGTGGATCACCTGAGGTCAGGAGTTCGAGACCAGCCTGGCCAACATGGTGAAGCCCCATCTCTACTAAAAATACAAAAATTCAACTAGTGTGGTGGCATACGTCTGTATTCTTGGCTGCTTGGGAGGCTGAGGCAGGAGAATTGCTTGAACCTGGGAGACGGAGGTTGCAGTGAGCCGAGATCATGCCACTGCACTTCAGGCTGGGCAACAGAATGAGACTCTGTTTAAAAAAAAAAAAAAATTAGCCAGGCATGGTAGCAATCACCTGTAATTCCAGCTACTCAGGAGGCTGTGGCAGGAGAATTACTTGAACCCAGGAGACTGAGGTTGCAATGAGCCAAGATCGAGGCACAGCACTCCAGCCTGGGGGAGAGAGTGAGACTCTGTTTCAAAAATAAAGAAAGAAAGAAAAAAAAAATGGCCAGGCACGGTGGCTCACACCTGTAATCCCAGCTACTCAGGGGCTGAGGCAGGAGAATCGCTTGAACCCGGGAGGCAGAGGTTACAGTGAACCAAGATCACGCCACTGCACTCCAGCCCGGGTGACAGGGCAAGACTCCATCTAAAAAAAAAAAAAAAAAAAATTTAGAATGCTGAGTGTGTGTAAGATCACCACGGTGGTCAGTGTGGACAGAGAGAAGAGCCCGGTGCTGTGTCTCCAAAAACAACACAGAAGGGGTGGCCAGGGAGGTGGGTAGAAAACTGGAGAGGGGTGTCCTGGAAGCCACAGTATGGGAGAAGGAAGGGTGTGTGCTGGGATGGGGTGTTCAGGCCCCTGCTTTCGCTCGGCCCCTTGCAGCAGGCTCTGGAGCACCTAGACCACCGGCTGAGCGAGAAGGTGAAGCAGCGGAACGCCCTGCAGCACCAGCTGGTGTTACGGCAGAGGCGGCTGGAGGAGCTCCAGCTACAGCACAGCCTGTGCCACCTGGAGATGGCAGAGGCGCAAAACAGCCACTCGGAGGTGGCCAAGGTAGGGCCGAGAGAGGCCTGCAGGGCAGAGGGTCCTGTGGAAGGGATCAAGTGCAGAGGGCACTCAGCCCAGCCCTGCTGCTCTCTAGACCATGCGGAACCTGGAGAACCGCCTGGAGAAGGCCCGGATGAAGGCGGAGGAGGCCGAGCACATTACCAGCGTGTACCTGCAGCTCAAGGCCTATCTACAGGTAGGGACTAGGAGGGCTCGGGTGAGGGGGCAAGCAGGGGCTAGGGACAGCAGTCACAGACCTGCCTCATCTCCCCAACATCTCCCCTCACGATGCCCCAGGATGAGAGCCTCCACTTGGAGAACCGGCTGGACTTCATGGAGGCTGAGGTGGTGAGGACCAAACACGAGCTGGAGGCACTGCACCTGGTGAACCAAGAGGCCCTCAACGCCCGGGAGATTGCCAAGGTGCTAACCCTCTTGCCCCCGGCCGTCCTGCCCAGCTGCCGCGGTCTCCCAGCTTCAGAATCTGATCCCAGCTGTCCCTGAGCTTCCCCAACGCCCCCTCCCCCATCTATCTCCTAGCACCCTGTGGCGGGTAGCGGTAGGTGCCATCTGGTCCCCCTGCCCCCCTGCCTGCCCTCCAGAACCAACTGCAGTATCTGGAGGAGACCTTGGTTCGAGAGCGCAAGAAGCGCGAACGCTACATAAGTGACTGCAAGAAGCGCGCTGAGGAGAGGAAACTGGAGAACGAGCGCATGGAGCGCAAGGTGGGCGCACCCAGGAGTACGCGGCTGTGACTCCAGCCCAGCTGAGCCCAGACCAGCCCAGCCTTGCCCTGGCTCTACCTCATCCTAGGCCTTCTCCCACTTCCGAAGTTTCTCCTAACCCCGCCCCCTTCCTGACTCCACCCCCAGTTGGTGCAAAGACTCTTCCCATATCCCTACCCCGCTCCTCCCCTTCCCTCCTGGGTGGCTGTTCCATTTTGGCTCTGATGTGGCCTTCAGCCTTCCCCTTACTCACTGACCCCTACCCATCCTTTCCCACCTGAGTAGACTGCCTGTCTTAAATCTGACCCTGCCTCTAGCCTAACCCTTGCCTAAGGCTCCGCCCCCTTCCTATTGGCCCCGCCCCCTGCACCTGTCCTGAGGCTGCCACCCGTCCAGCCCTTTTTGTTTTTGTTTTAATTTTTCTTTTTGGTAGTTTGTGTGTGTATCTGTGTGTGTGTGTGTGTGCGCGCGCGCGCGTGTGTGTGTGCGCGTGTGTGTGTGTATTTTTTGAGACAGGGTCTCACTCTGTCGCTCAGGCTGATCATAGCTCACTGCAGACTAGACCAGCTGGGCTCAAGTGATCCTCTCACCTCAGCCTCCCAAGTATCTGGGACTAGAGGCGCGCCACCGAGGCCTACTAATTTTTGTATTTTTTGTAGAGACGGGATTTTGCCATATTGCCCAAGCTGGTCAAACCCTTGGGCTCAAACGATCCTCCCACCTCGGCCTCCTAAAGTGCTGGAATTAAAGGCGTGAGCCACCTCCACCGCGCCTGGCCTTGTCCCACTTTCTTGACCCCTGCCCAGTGCCCTTATCTGGCCCCAAGCTTTTGCCCTCTCCCCTCCCTCCAGTTCTAGCCCTGCTCCCTTTGGTGCCCCAGTCTGGATTCCCCTCCCCATCCTCCGCCCTAAGCGCTGTGCACGAGCTGACCCTGGCTCTGACCTCAACCCACGAGCAGACCCACCGTGAGCACCTGCTGCTGCAGTCTGAAGACACCACCCAAGATAGCCTGCATGCCAAGGAGGAGGAGCTGCGGCAGCGCTGGAGCATGTACCAGATGGAGGTGATCTTTGACAAGGTCAAGGACGCCACCGGCACTGCCGAGTCGCACGTGAGTTCTGTCCGCAGCCCTCTCTGCCGAGCCCCTTCCACCCTAGACGCACCCTGGGGTCCCCAGGCCAATGAAACCAACATACCCTGCCTCTCCTCTGCCAGGTCAGTTCTTAAGCTCACAAACCTGCTCCTTTCTTGAAAAATCTCTCTTCCCTCTCCAGCTACCATTCAGTTTTTCTGCTGCCCTTCGAAGCAAAACCCCCAGGAGCTGTCTACACTCGCCCTCATTTCTACACTTGCCTTCCTTTCTCTCTTGCACTGTGCTAACTCCTTTGCCATGCCAGCTGTAGGAGAACTGGGAATTTCCTCTCTTGTTCTGTCTCCAGTGTCTGCAAGTGGCATCCCTGCCCCAGGTCCCTCACTTTGCAGTGTCTTCCTTGCAGTATTCTAAGACCGCTGTGTCCCCCTTGGGTCCTGGTTCCTGCCAGTGAACACTGGACCCCAACCCTGTTTCTGCCCTCTGGGTGCCTGCCAACCTGCGGCGCCTCCTATGGGGCCAACCCCCGAGGAGTTCTGGGACTTCCACCTATGGGAGGACACCTATGGGGTCATCTGGGGCACTGAGGCGCAGCCCTTTTCCAGATTTGGGCGTTGTGAGGGGATGGCTCCGAAGATGGGTAGTATTTCCTGTGAGACTGGGGGAGATTCACGGCCAGAAATGGATGGCACATTGATTTTGGAAAGAAGCTATGTTCACCTGTCCAGCTGCCCCCGCATTTGGCCTGATTCAAATTCCTTGTATTTGTATGCTTTTTTATTTTTTTGAGACGAAATCTCGCTCTGTCCCCCAGGCTAGAGTGCAGTGGCCCGATCTCAGCTCACTGCAATCTCTGCCTCCCGGGTTCAAGTGATTCTCCTGCCTCAGCCTCCCTAGTAGCTGGGACTACAGGTGTGCGCCACCACGCCCTGCTGATTTTTGTATTTTTTTTATAGTAGAGACGGGGTTTCACCAAGTTGGCCAGGATGGTCTCGATCCCTTGACCTCGTGATCCGCCCGCCTCAGACTCTCAAAGTGCTGGGATTACAGATGTGAGCCACCGTGCCCAGCTCAAATTCCTTATATGGGCCAGAATGGGCCCCGCAAAAATGATATATCCAGGGCGGCTCACCCTTGAAGCAGCCCCGACTCCAACCTACAGTATCTCCATACATCCCTGTGTAAAAGGTGCCAGCTCAGGCCACCTGTCCTGCTTCCGAGGGGACGCAGAGTGGGGGGCAGGAGGTGAAGCGCTCCTGCACCTCCTTAGACTCTGGCTCTGACTGGGACCGGGTGGTCCTCAGGCGGTGGTGCGGCGGTTCCTGGCCCAGGGAGACACCTTCGCGAAGCTGGAGACGCTCAAAAGCGAGAACGAGCAGACGTTGGTGAGGCTGAAGCAGGAGAAGCAACAGCTGCAGCGGGAGCTGGAAGACCTCAAGTACTCGGGGGAGGCCACAATGGTGAGGTGAGGCCCTGGGATCCCGGGGTTGTCGGTGGGGCGGCGGCGGGGCGGACTGAACCCCCCGTGACGACCTCTCCGTTCCCTGCAGCCAGCAGAAACTGCAAGCCGAGGCGCGGGAACGCCTCAAGCAGGAGGAGCGGCGGCACGCCGAGGCCCAGGACCAGCTGGAGCGCACCTTGCGGGCGATGCAAGTGGCCAAGGACAGCCTGGAGCACCTGGCCAGCAAGCTGATCCGCATCACTGTGGTAGGCCCCGCCCAGAGGAAGCCCCTCCAGGCCCTCCCGGGACCGATGATGCGCAATCACGAAGCGGGGATTCCTGTCACAGCGGCCTGCCCTAGGGAACCCCCATCCTGTGTCCCTGATGACAGAGGCCCCGCCCACATGGAAAGAAGCCTAGCCTCATTCCTCAGAATCCCCGCCCCACATCCCTGGGGGAACTCTCACTCCCGCAAGGAAGCCCAAGACTTAGGAGACCCTGTGCCGTCCCAAGCTCCACCTCCAAGGGAAAGCCCCACCCTGTCCCCACCGAAAACCTCGGAGACCTCGCTGCAATTCTGGAGCAATCCGAGACAGACCTATCGTGCCCGCAGCAGAGGCCCATTTCTTCAGGAGGCCATTCTCATAATGGCCTCCCTCGAGTTTTTACCATCCCCACCAAGGGGCCTCCCCGAAACCTTTCCACATTCTAGCTAGAGTTCAGAGGCTCCGCCCTCACAGACGTGGCCTTGACCCGCGTCCCCGCCCCCACTGACTAGCACCGCCCCTGTAAATGGGAATTTACCTCCCAGGCCCCGCCCCCCAGAGAAAAGGCCCGCCCCTGGGTGGAGCCTGTCCACGAGGCCACACCCCTCTCGGCTGACCGGACTCTGCCCTGGCCGCAGGAGGACGGTCGCTTCGCGGGAAAGGAGCTGGATCCCCAGGCAGATAACTATCTGCCAAACCTGCTGGGCCTCGTGGAGGAAAAGCTGCTGAAACTGCAGTCGCAGCTCGGGAGCCACGACGTCCAGGAGATGCTGCGTCACATCACCAACCGCGAGGTGCCCTGCAGCCATGGGGCAGGGCTCCAGAGATCGAGGAGTGGGGCTGGGTCGGAAAACCAGGGAACCGCGGGTAACCTCGGGAGACCAGGGTGCAGGCTGACGAGCCAGGAAGGGGTCTCGGGGAGAACGAGTGAGGTTTGAGGAGCCACCAAGGAAGAAACCAGAAGAGGTGGCCGGGCGCTGTGACTCACGCCTGTAATCCCAGCACTCTGGGAGGCCTAGGCGGGTGGATCATTTGAGATCTGGAGTTCGAGACCAGCCTGGCCAACATGGTGAAACCCCGTCTCTACTAAAAATACAAAAAGTCTCTACTAAAAATACAAAAAATTAGCTGGGCGTGGAGGTGGACGCCTGTAATTCCGGCTATTCAGGAGGCTGAGGCACCAGACTTTCTTGAACCCAGGAGGTGGAGCTTGCC